TAAATATAATATACATATGTAATTGTTTTTGATTATTTTTTAAAATACGTTTTGAGGGAACAGAGTACATTCAAAGTTTCATTGCCCAGAAAATTTTTTATTTTTGTTGCAAAAAGACCAGGCACAGAAAAAGCATGTTCAGATTCTATACTGAATGGCTTAATAGTCATTAAAAAATTATACACTCTTAGCAAAAAATCACCTCATGTTCATCCATTTTCAAACAGCAGCATTTCTTTTTAAATTTTTACTGACAGCGTCTTACAAGGAATTTTTGTTTTGCTGGGCAAATGTGCTTTTTTTAAATAGTTTTATTAAGTTTATTATTCATTGCTCTTGAAAAGAGCAAAAGAAATAAATTCAGATGGAGAGTCAGAAGAACCAGAAACAATTTTGAGTAGTAATTGAACTATTAAGCTTTTAAGTTGACATTTTATTGAAGAAGGAACTGTTAATAGCTCTATTTCAGATGTTTATTGATTCTACCATTGTACAGATACTGAAGATACAGATAACACTTAAATTGGTACCCCTTTGTTGCATTTGAAAGAGAGATGACACTCACTCAATCTTTGACTTATAACGTTGTTAACATCTTTAAGTTTTTTAGCATAAAAGTTATGGCAACATTGGCTGTAAAAATTAGCATTCAGACTAAGGGCCTCAAGTTGCTTTTACTGGGACTAGCGCATTAATGATATCAGAAACAGTTTTAATCTCATTATTAGATAAAGCCAAATATTCACCTTCTGGTAGACTTATGTCTATTAGTTCCTTTTGTATACAATTTTTTAATAAATAGATGCATTGAAGCATTGACAAAAAACTATTCTGTTTAGTCTTGCAATCTTTTTATTAGAGTTATTTGCTTTCCAAATTCAGCCACAACATACTTCTGCATTAGGGTACAGCAAAACTTTTTTTCTTTCTAAAAGCTTAGGAAAAGGTGTATTCTTATGTAAAATCAAATTTTAAAGAGGGTTACATAAAAAAAAATTTTGATCGGAAAAAGTTTTGATACCCAAATATGGACTTTTAGAAATTCCAAAAACTAGTAAAATCTTATTTGTCACATGTCCTTCATTGTATTTTACATTTTCTTTTTCATTGCAATAAAATGTTAAATGCAAATAATATTTTTAGACTGTTGAAAGTTTTTTTGATACTTTTCAAAATCATTATCTTTCATGGATCCTATCAGCAGTGTAGATTCTGCATTTTTTAGAGGGAGGAGGAGAGAGCCTTCAATTTTTTATGAGATTTTAATGATTAAAAAATTTGATCATAATAATTCATTGTACTTTCACCAAAAAACAGGTGGTTTATCCCCCTATCTTACCCCAACAATATTTTTATAGAACTACTAAAACACTATTAAAAACCAATAAATAAAATAAAAATCTATTGAAATTAAAAATTTAATAAAATTTCTTTCTTTGTTTTAAAAACAGGTAGCAACTCTCTATGTTGAGCTCTAGCTCTAATATACCCATGTCTTGCATCTGGTCCAACTACTGACATGGATGCTACTGTCACTTGTTTTACAGCATGCTCAGTACTTTGAGTATGAATTTTAATCGAAGGAGTTATTAAAGGTATCAATCTTAGTAATAACAACTTATCTCTGGTAAGCGAACAAGTAAAAACAGGTTCTTGTACAACACCATTTTCTCATTTAGCTAGTTCTTGAAGAGTAGTTGCTGCAAAGTTAAGTTTATGTATTTTTCTTGGTCTGATTCACATATCTCCAAGGATATCATTACCCCTTAGTTTCAAAATTCGATCAACTGCAAAATTGCGGTCTTCTGCATTATTACTAGATAATAAAGAGATTAGTATACTCTCATGGTTTGCATACCAAGCTCCTAACTGGATGTAGGGAGTCACAATTTCTTTTACTCTATCAGGTTGCATTCTAAGAATTCTCAATTGAGAAAGAATGTGATAGGAAGCATCTTTAAGCCGGTCTTTGAGCTTTATGTCAAAAAAAAGTTTAAAGTAAATTTGTAAACAAAATACAATAAGTAACTCAAGATTTTGCGAATTTTGATCATTTAAGTCATGTTTCCTTGTCCACATAAAGGCTATTCTCATGCCAGTAGTGAACTATCTGACATGACTTAAGGGGCCACATTTAATTTCCCTAAGATTTCTCTAAGGTGGCAATCTTACCTGCTTTGCATAGTTTGTAACATTGTTTCTGATCTGTTGACATATTTTTTAATATTGTTTCTGGAATGTCGACAAAGCTCTCTCCATTCGAAAGAGCTTTGAATTGAGGATTATACTCCATTTTATTAACATCAGGAAGAAATTTTCCCACAGGACCTACAAATCCAGTACTACATGATGTTGGTCCATCAATGCCTTTTATAAGGTGACGCAAAAATAATTCATTCAAATGAAGCGTGCATATGGCCCAGTGGCACTTGTGACCTAACAGCTTTTCAATTAAAATGATTCAGTAAGATTATGTTGTTGCAGCAAAATATAAACACCTTCAGCAATCTTTTTAGCTGGCTTATCTAGATGATTAGGTGCATTTGGGGTAAAATGACAGAGATATCGGTTACTAGGTTCTATAGTCACAGTAATGTGATGCTCTTTGATAAAAATAGGATGTAGCTGTCCATTTGAATCATTTATCATTGCACTTGTTGAATCTTTCCTTCCGCCAAAGTAAATGGCAATATTATCTGCTTTTGGAAGTTTTAAATTATCATTTTTCTTTGACTACCATGACCTTTTTTCTCGCTCTCGTCAACTTAGAAGGATCACAAGCAAGGTAAGAGGATTCAGGGGTAAGAAATCCTACTTCAATTAAATCTTGAAGATAACTTGTAGCAATTGCTGCAGTTGCAGCAGGTGAAATTTCAAACCTATAAAATAAGAATGGTTTATACTTATTTCTACTAACTAATGTTGCTGCTCAACAAAACAATAGTCAATATAGTTACCTTATATTAGCCATAGCAGTGTTTTTTATTGACTTAGTGTTATATCTTGACTTCTTTTCTAAAAACCGTGTTAAAAGGAAAGCATAGACACCTAACTTTTCCTTTAGCAGCCTTTCAACCAACACCTTAACTTCATTGTCTTGTTGTAAAGTTAAGTTAACATTATTTGGATTATAGTTTTCATTGAGAAAACCAGGAATATATATATATATATATATATATATATATATATATATATATATATATATATATATATATATATATATATATATATATATATATATATATATATATATATATATATATATATATATATTATTGTTATTATTATATGAAAAAAGAAAATATTTATTATTAAGAAATTATATTTACCTTGAAGAATGCTTGTTTCTCCTGTATTTTTTAAATTCTTTTCTCATAAGCTTCTTCATTACTGACTTTTCTATTATACTTTTTTCTTAGTTTCATTGTCTTGATCTTATCAGCATGTCCCATCTGTATGTCAGACTTTTCACCTGTCTTATTTCTTTGACTGTATAACAATCTGAGCTCCATAGTCGGAATTTTTTTAAAACAAATACAGGTGCAATTTATATGTGCTTCATTTTTACAATTTTTAAGGGAAGAACACCCAGACAGATCATGCTCGCATAAAATTATTGTGTGAGGACATGTTATGAGGTCTATTAGTTTATCTAACTTCAATATAAACTCTTCTTTTACTTTTGCCTTAATTCTTCCCCATGCAACATTTTCTGCTTTCTCCCAAAGTGTTTTTATTCTATAATAAAGCAATTTCTCCCCAATAATAACTGGTTGTTGAAAAATAATATTTGCTTTTTTCCATTGAGCAAGAACAAATGGAATTAGATCTTTGTTAAAATATTTATTTTGGTGTAAATTGCATGTTATGCTTTTTTGTTATTTTTATAAAATTCCTTTTTGAATAGCTGCTCTGTTTGTAAGCAGCTCACTAGGAATAAAATTTTTTCCAGGTCCAATAAACTCAGAAATTCTAGTGGTGGATGAATATCTTGTCTTAACTTTTGACATTTATGAATAACTCGATGATATAACAAATAAAATATTTACAGACTACGATCTTATTATGCTGTTTTTTACGGCAGAGAGCTAAGTCAGAATTTCTTTTAAAAATTGATTTGGCACTGCGCTTATTATGATAGACTAAACATAAAACCAGATTAAATTTACTTTATAATAATTTGGGTTTTAATAATGTATAAGTATGAAAATTTGGGTATTAAAACATTTTCTAATCAAAAAGTTGTCGATAGCAATCCTACCTTAAAACTTAATTTTACATAAGAATACACCTTTTCCTAAGCTTTAACTTCATTTTTTTTTAAAAACATATGAATTTCACTCTACCCTATTCTGCATATCATAACTGCAAGATATTGTATTTTTTTTATACTAAAAAAATTATGATATCTTGCAGTTTTTACTCAATGATTAACAATAAATAACATCTCTTAAAACTATTAAATTATTTATTCATCAAAAAAATACAAATTTCCTCCGCAGAAGGAAATTTGTATTTTTGTGGATATATGGAACTTTTTGTTTGTGGAGTGGATATATGGAACTTTTTGTTTGGTAGTAACTGTTTCACCATATTGAAGTCATTATGCCTCTTAACATGCCACTGCAATTACATGTTATGTGGTGCCCCCACCATATTTTTGGTCAAATACATATTTGTATTTAAATTTGTATTTATACTTGCTACAAATAGACTAACTTTGCATATTTGTATTCATATTGTATTTGATTAAAAAATTCCCTCAATATTTGTATTTGAATCTGATTGAAATTAGAAATTCAATAAACTAGGTTAAACAGTGTTTCTTTGGGACACCATTTGTTTTTTTGTTTTTTTATTTTCAAAACTAAAATAAATTACTTGATTTGTTTATTCTTCTACTTAATAGACCATTTTATCAAATAATATTTTTTCTTTGAATTTGTATTTGGAAATGTAATAAAGAAGTATGAGAAAAATAAAAGTAATAAAGTACAAACCTGGAAATTTTTTAATTAACTTTCTCATTGGTGTTGTAAGTTTATTCCCTTCAACAGTTGAGTTTCGCAAAGCATTTTTCCAGTTATTACATCCAATAATTGCCATAGCAACCTCTCTATACAGAATTTATTTCAAAAATTTAAAGCATAATAATAGTAGTTAAAAATCTTCTCTATTTTTGGAATTAAATATTCTTATCCTTGAACTCAAGTCTAAGAAGTTACTCATTTTTTAAGTTATTCATTTTTAAATGTTTGTATATATGTTACAGCCTACTTTTAACCCTTTAACATTAAAAAACCCAATTAAATTGCAGCAAAAAAAAAAAGCTGACTACAGTACTAAAAAAGACCTGGTGGGTTTATTATATTATTTGGGTTATTTATGGTATTTTGGTCTATTTTTAGTAAATTTTTGCATTCAAAATGTTGTGAAATTTTGTAAAATTTTGTAATTTTGTAAAATTTTGTAATTTTGTAAAATTTTGTAATTTTGTAAAATTTTGTAATTTTGTAAAATTTTGTAATTTTGTAAAATTTTGTAATTTTGTAAAATTTTGTAATTTTGTAAAATTTTGTAATTTTGTAAAATTTTGTAATTTTGTAAAATTTTGTAATTTTGTAAAATTTTGTAATTTTGTAAAATTTTGTAATTTTGTAAAATTTTTTAATTTTGTAACATTTTGTAATTTTGTAAAATTTTGTAATTTTGTAAAATTTTGTAATTTTGTAAAATTTTTTAATTTTGTAAAATTTTTTAATTTTGTAAAATTTTGTAATTTTTGTAAAATTTTGAAATTTTGTAAAATTTTGCATTCAAAATTCTAAAGTTGTTAAAATGACAAATGGTCTATTCAAGAATAAATTTTTTTAGCAACTTTCTTGAATTATGACTTAATTTGAAATAATAATAATAATAAAAAATTATAAAATGCGATAAATTGAAAAGTGATGATAATGGTTAAGCTCACATTTTAAAGATAAATTTCCCTGTATTTTTACATTTCATTTGCAGTCATAAATAATTTATCTGAAAAATAAATTTAAATATCTCCCCCAAAAGGAGGGAAAAGCTGTACAAAACATAACGTTTTGTATCAGCAAGCCTTGTTTTAAAAAGTAAACTGGCGCACCATTTGCTTACATGCTAAGCTGTTTAAGGTAAGTGGTAAGCCATTTCATGCAAGCCATTTTTTATCATTTTTTAATATTTAAACAAGTCAAAATAAATCATTTAGGTGGTAAGTAAAAAAAAGTAATTAATGTTATAAGCATTGAGTTTGAATAATAATTACGTAAAAAAGTTTGCATGACAATTATATTTGATAATCGCGCTATTTACAAATGTAATAACGTAAGGAAAAACAAGGAAAACTTTATTTTCATCTTTAACTTTGATATTTTAATCTTTAACTCTGAAACACAAACCTTTGCAAACAAAGCAACAAAAGCTGAGAAAAAAAGTTGATTTAAAAGTATAGTTATAAAAAAAACAAACAAGTTTTTTTATTCTCCAAACCACACCTCTATAAAAACATTCCAAAAATTGTATTTTTTCAAATTTTTTTGAAAATTCTAATTTACTCCCAACAAGGCTGCAAGCAACCATATTGGGAGTTACTAGAAAATAAAGATTAGATTTAAAGAGGAAGGAAATGGTTGACAAAAGTGTTAAAAAAGTTGTAAGTTGTATGAATTAGGAAAACATGAAGATGTAATAGAGTTCCAAAGGGTTGAAGTGTGGGAAAAAAACCAGACGAATAAAAGTTGAGCATTCAGGGAACTGTACAGTAAAAGGATGTGACTTTGCTAAATGATGAATCAAGAGAGATCGAGTCTTGGTTGATGCAACTAAAGATTAAAGCTTCTTTGAGCAGTGACTATGATAGTAGTTGTAGAAAAGAGAAAGAAATGCAACTTTACAACAATAGGAGAGAGACCCAAGTTTGGCAGATACAGCAGTTCCAATTTTTTTTTTTTTTTTATTCAACCATATCAATAAAATTTACAAATTTCATTGTAAATTAATATAAATTGGTTAGGTGTCACTCATATAGTTACAAACTAGTCAATGGAGTGACACCTAAAAAACATAAAAATTTCACAAAAAAATAAATAAATAATTAAATTGGAACTGCTGTATCTGCCAAACTTGAGCCTCTCTTCTATTTATTGGAAAAACTTAACATTTGTATATATAAATAAGAGAGAAAAGAAGAAAAGATTGTTAAACAAATAATAATGATATATGTAATAGTAATAGGAATAATACAAAATAATAACAATAATAATAAAGTACCAATAATATTAAGAATATTATAATACAATATAAATTGTATGTACAAATCATAGATGATAATTAGATATAATAATAACATTAAATGTAACATTAATAACACAATAATAAATAAATATAAGATAGGTAAATAATAAATAAAATAAAAATCAAACCACTTGTTCGTTAAAGAGATTATATATTGAAGACAACTACAGTACAGAGAGAAATTATAAAAGATACACTCCAACAATATATTTTTAAATTGAATTCTGTTGAGCAGTAAAAAATTCGTAACAAGTGGATATTTTTTCTTAGACTTTTTTATTAATGCAGAAATACACTGGTTCCATTGAGAAATACATTGTTGTTTTATGGAAAACTTACCATGATTGTGTTGAAAAAAGAATAGTATAGCTTGTTATTTTCTGTATTCCTGGTGTGATGATTATGAACTTCGTTTGTTTTAATAAAAAAATTTGAAAAAGGGCTTGGTAGTTTATTTTGGAGAAAGTCAAACACAAAAAGACAATTGTAAAACTTTACAAGATTATGGAGTTTTAGGATTTTTAGTTCAGAAAATTTTTTTTCGACATCAGATCTCATTGGGTAAAACGTCATTATTCTAATAGATGCGCGTTGTAAACTAGCAATGTTATTAAGTAAAAAATTTCTTTTTTGACCCCAAACAATACAACAATAGCAAAGGTGAGAAGAGAATAAAGAAAAACAAATCATTCAAAGAGTTTGGATAGGAACATAGTAACGAATTAGAGAAAGCATACTGTTAGCTCGTGTAAGTTTTTTTTTTAGATGATACAGTTGGTTATACCAAGATAGGTTTTCATCAAGATATATTCCAAGATACTTTATATACTTTGATGGAAAAAGTTTTTTACCGCTAATTTTAATTTTAATATGATCAATAGTTTTTTGAGGGGAATGAAAAATAATGTATTCAGTTTTATTGACATTCAAGGAAATACGGTTACTATTTAACCAGTTACATAAGCGATGAAGATCTTGATTAACTTTTTTACAAAGAGTCGTGAGGAATTTGTTGATATATAAAAAATTGGTATCGTCAGCATAATGATGTTTCATAGAATTTTTTACAAACAAGATAAATCATTTATATATAATAAGAACAACAACAGTCCAAGAACAGAACCTTGTGGAACGCCATATTTAATAACTTTATGTGTGGATTCAAATCCATTAATTAAAACAAACTGAGTGCGATCCATAATATATGAAGAAAACCAATGATTAGCTATACTACGTATTCCGTAGTAGTTTAACTTTTTTATTAGAATGTTGTGATCAACCATATCAAAAGCTTTTTGAAAATATAAAAAAACCACTGTCAATTGCACCACGAATTATTTCAGTAATGCTAATAAGAGCATGAAAAGTGGAGTGATTTGAGCGAAACCCAAATTGTCGAATATGAAAACAAGCAGAATTATTTAAAAAGTTGTAAATACGAGAATACATAAGTTTTTCTAAAAGTTTGCTCACATTTGATAATAATGAAATTGGTCTGTAGTTATTACATTCAAGTTTTGAGTCTTTTTTATGAATTGGGATAACAGAAGCAGTTTTTAAAATATCAGGGAATTCACCGGTTGTGAATGACAGATTAAATAGTTCAGAAAGTGCAGGAGATATATCGTTTGCAAGAGCTTTAAAAATAGGTATTGGAATGCTGTTAGGTCCTGAAGCCTTGCTGTCATTAAGAGAATGAATAATCGATAATACTTCGTTTTTGTCTGTAGGTTTTATGAACATTGAATTAAGATTAGGATTTTTAAGATATTTATTAAAGTCAGTATTGGATGAGTGGATCTTATTCTGTAAATCTTCCGTAACTGAAACAAAGAATGAATTATGGGGTGGTATATCATGGTGTTGGTAGAAGATAAGCATAAAGGAGATAAGTTAACTCTCGAACTAATATTTAAAAGGTTCTTAATACCATCCCATGTAGATTTCAAATTTTTGGCATTATCAGAGAAGAACTTAGAGTAATGGTTCTTTTTACTACGACGGGTAAGAGTAACAAATAAGTTTCTATATGTTTTATAAGATTTTTCTAGATTGAGTTTGTTATTAGGATTTTCTTTAAGAAATTTGTTAAATATTTTATTTCGCATTTTAATAGAAGTCTAGATTCCTCGTGTTATCCAAGGTTTGAGACCCCTTGATAAGCAGCGATTGCCAACTTTTTTTAATGGTGCATATTTATCTAAAAAAGAATTGAAACTTGAGAAAAACTCTTCAAATGACTTATTAGTCTTACCTTCATTGACATTGATTACATTAGTCCAGCTAATTTTTGAGAAATCACTACATAATTTGATGCAATTTATTTGTTTTAAATTTCGATGAAAAATGCAGCTTTTACGAGTATTAATTTTGGTTCTATAAAATGGATATATTAAAAATTGGGGCAAATGATCTGATGCCGTAGAAGTAAAATTACTGGCAAAAATATTTGTAGAAGTTGCATTAGAAAATATGTTATCAATTAGAGTTTTAGAGTGATTTGTGATTCTTGTTGGCAATGAAATAAAGAGAAGAAAGTTATTTAAAGCAATAGTGTCTAAAAATTCAGAGACAGAATTATCTGAGTTTGCTAATAAAAGATCAACATTAAAATCACCTATTAAAAAAGTAGTTTTGTTTTTTTCCATAGAGAGCTTTTCAAAAAGTGGAATTAAATATGATTTAATAAATTCTGAAATATCCATACTAGGATGGCAATAAATACAGCCAATAATGATGTTTGATTTTTTAGGAATTATGATTTCCACAAACACAGATACTAAAAGCTTTGGTTTAAACATATTAAGATCATATCGAAGTGTGTAAATTAATATATTCAATATATAAAGTAAAGCTCCTCCAAAATAAGATTTTGTCAGAGTGTGCTCATAAACATAACCGGTAAGATTTAATGGGATAGTTGGTAGAATGTCATTTTTTACTTTAGTTTCAGTTATGTCAATAATACTGAATTTATGATTAATCAGAGATAAAAGTGAGTTTAATTCATCAAAATTTTTAACAAGAGAAGAAATATTTAAATAAAAAGAGAAAAATTATTTTTGTCGATGTTAGAAGAGTTAAAACTTTCTATGTCCATATAATTACAATTAATAGGGTTTTCTTCAAGGTTTACGTCATTGTCATTGTTGTTATTAAGTTGATGGGAAATAAAATCATTAAGTTCATTATAAAGATTAGGCTGTATGTTGTTTGGGAAAGACGATATGTTGTTTTCGAATTCATTAATATAAATCACTTTATCATTTATTGTTTGAAGGTGCAGCTCCTTATCTGATAAAGTACTGAATAAAATTTTTTTTCCCTACATGAAATACAGAACCAAGATGTTTTAGAGTTTTTCAATATTCTAAATTCAATATCATTCAGACGACAACATTTTTTATGAAAAAGGTTTAGGCAATGATTACATTGAAGGTAGTGGTTCTTATTAATTTTCTTGAAACAATCTTTGCAGTGAGTAGACATTTAAGTGGTACAGTTTATAAAATGAAATGATTGAATGAACTAAAATAAGGAAACAAAGAGTAATATGAGCAGCAATATAACCAAAAATAATAAAAATAATAATAGTATTTATTAACAATATAAATATAATTCAATTGATAAAATAGTAAAACAAAAATAATATTTATTTAACAGTTAAAATAAATAATGAAAAAATACTATTAATAAAGTAAAAGAAGAATAAGGTAAATATATATTAAAAAAAAGTTATAATTGGTTAAACCTGATTACTCAACAAATAGGTTAATTGATGCCTAAGTATACCCCCAAGACAAACATAAGTCTATTAGAGTTTTTGTGAATCAAAGAATAGTACCCATTATTATTAAGATCTGAAGAAAGAACAGCCGAATTTTAATTAGCCTCACAACAAACAAGCAAGTCTGATAAATTTTTTCAAGAGATTCAAATAAGTGTAAAGTTACTTTAAAGACCACAAATATTTGTGAAAGATTTATTAAAACAGTTAGGTGGTGGGGATGGTTTTTTATGTTTAATACTTTTAGTTACTTTAGACAGTTTTAAAAAAAAGAACTTGACTCATTTATAGATAGACCACAGCATCCCAAGCAATAAGTTATGCAGTTGTTTCAACCCTACTAACTAACCCTAAGTCATAACTTAGGCCTCTTTAAGAGGCCTTGAAAATGCACACTAAAAACGTTAATAATGACACAGTCCATGCACAGCATGGTACTGTTAATACTTTGATATTTTACAACTGTTGATGAAATCAGCCTCTCTGAGAGCTAAACCAAAGAGCTCTGGGAACTTTACTGCCAGCTGGCCTCAAAACCATTAAACTGAGTTTTAGAGCTGCACTCTTATTAAGAGATAATAGGAAGAGTTGCATAGCCATCTATAAGTAGAAAAATCTATGATAAGAGTCAAGAAGATTCAGCATCAAGAAAAAAAGTAACACAGGTTTACATCTGCATTTTATACAAATTTATGAAACAATCTAAAAAAATTAAGGTTAGTTAAGTATGACAATTAGTAAGTATGACAATTTGTTTCTAAGGCGGAAGGGGGAAAGGGTCCTAAACTGCCTAAAGTTGTTTCTTTATAGTTAATGGACAGCCCTTTTAGAAATCTTAAAACAAATAAAAATTTGCACCTTCATATGTTACATAAACATAACAACATAAATGTAATTTAGTTTTGTATAAATTTACCTATGATTATTCTCAATTGCATAATCTAAACAGTTTTTTCCAAGATGATCTTTGCGAGTAACATCAGCATTTTTTGACAACAATAAGTTTACAATATCAACATGTCCTTCTTTACTAGCAAGATGCAATGATGTTATCTAATAAATAATTTTTTTATAAAAACTTTAAATACCTCTTAACTATTGTAAATTTATAATATTGTTTATATAAATAAAAAATTTATATATCATTTAAAGTACATACATCAAGTAATTTTATTTGAGTATTAAGTAATTAGCACATTAACTAACTTTAAGTAAGTAGTTTTAAGTAAGTATAGACACAGCACATATATATATATATATATATATATATATATATATATATATATATATATATATATATATGTATATATATATATATATATATATATATATATATTATATATATATATATATATATATATATATATGCTGTATATATATATGCTTGTTGATGAAGTTAAAAGTAATATATATATATATATTACTTTTAACTTCATATATATATACAGCATATATATATATATATATATATATATATATATATATATATATATATATATATATATATATATATATATATATATATATATATATATATATATATATATATATATATATATATATATACATATATATATATATATATATATATATATATATATATATATATATATATATATATATATATATATATATATATATATACATATATATATATATATATATATATATATATATATATGCTGTATTATATATGCTTGTTGATGAAGTAAAAAAAAAGTAAGTAAATAAAGTTTTTTTTTCAATTCAATTAAAAAATCATATTTGATATAAAAAAAAAGCTTATTTAAGAGATGCTAAAGAGTATAGACATTTTTTAAATAAAAAGTACCTATATTTTCTTTTTAAAAAACAATTCAATCCAAACAACAAGCAACAACTAATTAAATTGGGAGTAAGCAGAAAACAAAGAAAATAGAGTAAAGAGCTAGAAAGTGATTGACAGCAGAAAACAAAAAAATCTTTATATTAAATTTAATCAAAGTGTATCATGGGAACTTCCTTTACTTCCTTCCAGTCCGAACGTTTTTTAAATAATAATCAATTGATATGATAGGAATAGGGCCATCCGAATTACCAGAAATGGTTGCATCATTTGGAATAGTGGGGCCTTCTGTTTTAATTTCTTCCTCATCGAGTTTAATTAATAAAACATTAAAGTTAAGTAGAATTCCAATTAAGAGAGAATTCAAAGAAAAAAAATCTTGATGATAATTTTCAGAGATGAAGGAACAGTTTTACAACTACAAATCATTATAACTCAAATGGGTAGTTAAAAAAAAATTATTTTTGCCTGGATACAAGTTTAAAACTAAAAATTATTTTAGCTTGTATACACAATTATAATTAAAAAATATCACAACCTGCATAAACAGTTTATAGTTGAAAATTATTATAGCTTTTATACCAAGGTTATGATCCTTATATCCAAAAAAAAACTGACTTTTTATTGGTAAACAAATATTTTACAATAGTGATGTAACATATAAAAACATCTTATTAACAGTCGCTCACAGGTAATTGATTTATGAACCAGTAAGCCTAATTTTTTATTCATGTGCCCCAAGAAGTCCTAACGGTCTTGTCACAAAGCACCGCGGAAGTACATTTAACCAGAAAGTTCACGCCTCCTTCCTTACCATGACACGAAATATGTCCTAGGCTCATTTTGAACCTGGATCTCCTGCTTATAAAGCAAGCGCTCTAACCACTGCGCCGCGGTTGCACTATGACACTTGCAACTATTTTAACTTCCTTGTAATCAAGATTTTAATTTCAGTATTTTTGAAAAAAAAAAAAATTAACAACAATAATATCATTAAAATTCTAATAAAAATAAACGTTTTTATTGGCAATAGTTTGCTAATATGAAAAGAAAAAAAAATTATCAGACCTATTATTTTAAACATTTATGTCCTTAACTTCAAACTTTAATTGACATCACATTTTATAACCTTGGCTATGCAGACAAGAAAAAAAGTAAGTTATTTGACTTAAATTAAGATGTTAAAAATTTGTTGTTTAAAGACTCAAAGACCTTGCTAATAACAGATAGAAGACTGATCGGACTGTAGCTGGAGAGGTCAGAATGTTCTCCAAAGTTTTTAAAATTAGAATCACAAATGCCAGTTAGTGACTAAAGATTGTGATAAAGATTTTCCATAAGAATAATAAGCATAAGAAGATGAAAACATTGGAGTAGAATGAGACTTCACTTATAATTGGCATGAAGAAATAAAATTTTCCATACCTGCTTGTACCCAGGAGATTATGTAGGAGAGCATATTTATCAGCGGAGAGACAAAAGACATTAGCTTAAGTACAACCACAAAGAGAATCAAAAAAAAATTTTATTCAGCTTTTAGTTTATTTTTAAGCAGACATTACAAAATACATTCACATTACAACATTAAAAAAAATCCATTTACCTTGACCTTATCAGAAGGATTTATAATAGAGTCAGCATCTAATAAACATTGTGCACATTGGTTCCAACCACGATAAGAAGCACAGTCTAATGGAGTCATTTGATTCGCATTTCTTAGTAAAGGTAATATATATATATATATATATATATATATATATATATATATATATATATATATATATATATATATATATATATATATATATATATATATATATATATATATATATATATACACACACATATATATACATATATATATATATATACACACACACACACACACACATATATATATTAGATATATGACAAAAAAACCTTTTTTCAAAATATTAATTTTCCTGATGTTGCATTTGATGAATTTTAACAATAGATCACTGTTTTGAGGTTTATTTTATTGGATCACAAAAAAACCTCCCGCACATAGCACCTCACCACTTTTAACTTTTTCGATTTTTCACTTGATTTTTTTTTCAGTTCTTACTTCCTTATGCTTGACTATGCTTGACTATGCTTAAATATAACTACAAGTTGGAGAGCGTCAAACAGTTTAAAAAGTTAATTAACATAGAATGAAAAAGTTCGATAGTTTTAAATTGTTTTTATGTTATGTAACTCAATTTTGAATAACAAATTTTAATGACTGTTTTTCAAATTAATGCGCGTTTGTTGTTGTTTGTTGTTCAGTATTTTTTAATGTTCGTGCAATTAAAATATTAAGTAGAAGTATTTAAAAAGTTTTTTCATTATTTGCAGTATTAATTAGCAAGATCTGCTGTTTAGTGCTTCTTTTTGAAAATATGTCCGTTAAAAGTAAAAAGTCAAAATCAGCAGCTGGTAAAATATGGACACAAAATTTGAAATCAAGCACGAAACGCCGTCCTAATATACCACAGGTAAAACAGGATATGAGCAACAAATGGTGTAAAATGCCTTCCAACAGAGATATCGTTGGAAGATTCTTAGGACTCTTTAATGAATTGAAAGGACAACATGATTGACTAACAAAAATATCAGAGGAATTGATAAATTTTTAGCAGAAGTTTAATTTTCCTGTTCTTTCCCAACAACAAGTGTCTGCTAATGTTTACAAACTTATCACATCATTTGAGAAAGCAACCAAATGCAGTATTTGAAGAAAATCTTGCTCATCTGTTCGATATAACAAAACCAGATGAAAATTGTAGTGAGGACAAACAACTGTACAAAGTAAAATTGAATCAGATGGCAGGGTGGAATATACAACTATGAAAGTGGCTCCTATGTCAGCAATCCATCCATCAAAAAGGGCCAAAAGAACATCAGAACCCTTGACAAACCAAGCGGTTATCTCCGTACCACTTTCCTGTGATAGTGAGGATTCTGAGGAAGGAAGCAACAGTGGTGACTCAGGGGCAGTTCCAGGAGAATCTCGCAGAAAGCGGGCAACACGCCAGTCAATTAAGTCTGCTGCCAAACTAGTGTCTAGTCACTCTTTGTCAACCAGAAAAACGTCACAGGTGCTTCAAAGTCTGGCTGAGGATGGGGTTTGTGTCGCAACACCATCACAGTCTGGAGTCTGGTGTTGAACAATCAGAGATGCAGAACAAGTTAAGAACCGCCTCATGGAACTGATTTCTGAAGAGAAATTTTTTTGCATTTTGATGGTAAGAAAATTGACAAGACTGAGTACCAAGTTGTGTGCTTGAAAAATGACAAAAGAACATTACAACTTGGCGTTTTGGTTTGTGACAGTGTTACATCTGCAAGCATATATAAACCACTACAGGACCTATTTGATGATTACAATGCATGGAACAGTATTCAAATGATCATTTCTGACACAACAGCTGTAAATACTGGTCGCAAGAATGGAGTTGTAGCCAAGCTTCAGAAAACATTTCGAGACAAGGGATTCGATGAACCTTAATACATCGGCTGCCAACACCACACTCTTGATCTTGTTCTATGACATGTGTTGGACATGTGTTTTTTCTTTATTTCTATACAGTCACAGTCGCCTAACATTAACTACATATTTATTGATGAGATTATGGAGCATTACGATGATTTAAAAAATGCCTACAAGGGCACAGCAGTGGTAGCAGAGTATGAGAACCTTGGCTGGAGAGATGACTTTAAATTTCTTTTTCAGCTTTGTGAAGCATACAAGTTTTACAAAAATGAGAAAAAATGGCCTCGTATCAAATGGCACAAGCTGCCATCACTGCACAGTGCCAGGTAGAACTCAAGAGGCATTTTTGCGCTTATTGCACTTTTCATTTTTCCAAACTGGCGAGAACAGCTGAGGATAACTTGCGATTTCGTTGCAACTACATGGTCGCGGGCCTGGTTTTCAAACCAGCACTATGCAGAGGCGGCTTATGAAGACCTGCTGTCAGCAATATCCCAACTTAAGTGTTCCAAAGCTGTGAAATTCTTCTCTACCCACTGAAAGAAGGAACCATCAGTGCTTGATGTGCCTCGAACCAACATAGTAGCCAAGAGAGCTGTAAAGTTGATGGGAGACATTCGTTCTTCTTGCAGAACAAACAAATATATTAACTGTAAATTTATTAATACTAATACACAAATCTGTAAGATTATTAATATCACTACAAATGCTGTAGGACAGTGTATTTCTCATGTGTATTGTATATAAAGTTGACATATTATAATTAATAGCCTTTGGGCTACTATGTGTTGTATGGTTAAATATGAAACTGTCTTAAGTGCGGAAAGTTTTTTCAAGGTATGGTGAAATCAATGTCATTTCTGTGATTTATAGACAAAAGTTCATCATTTAGAACCCCAGGCTAATTGATTTAAAATTTATCATATACCTAATATATATATATATATATATATATATATATATATATATATATATATATACATATATATATATATATATATACATATATATATATATATATATATATATATATATATATATATTATATATATATATATATATATATATATATATATATATATATATATATATATATATATATATATATATAGGCTTGGTCGGGAAGCGGGTGCGATTGCACTCGATAATTGACCACGGAAATAATATTTAGTTGTGAAAAACCGGTCAGATTTTTTAGCCGTTTTCAGAACATTTCAAAAACAAACAAAAAAGCGCAATAAGATTAATTGGACTGATGAGAGACAGTTAAAAAAAGAAAAATAACTTTTAATGCGAAAAAACTTTAAACAAAATAAATACGATTAGAGCAAATATTTTTGAAACGCCGCTCTTTTATAATTTTTTTTTTAAATTGAGCGACATTTTTTATATAAAGTAACAACTTACTATTAATGATTGTTTAATAAGGAAACAAATGTTCTTCGATTTATCAAAGAGTATATATAATTTTTATTTATATACTTATCCCTTATTTCCAGTGCTGGATTGAGGAGGTGGGGGGAAGGGATAGAAGGGCTATAGCCCCTGGACTCACAATGTTAGGGGCCACGAAATAGTCATGAGGACCATTTGGTATTTTTTTAGTAAATTTTACGATATGGCACATAAAAAAAAGCAACCAAAATAATGCGGCCTCCGGCCCTGAAAAGTCCAACAAGATTCAACCAATAAAACTAACACTAGATCATTTATTTATGAATAAAAAAGTTTTTTACATAACTATTTTATGCTTCACGTAGTTTGAAAAGTTTAACATTTGAAACAATTCTTCTTAGTAAGATGAACAAATGAATTAATTAAATCATTGAGTTACTGTAGAAATTTGATTAGCTTAAAATTAACTAAAAACTTTAAATTACCTTGTGAGGAGGAAGCGGAACTGCTTCACAATACCGCTGATGATGTTTAGTGAGTGGGCTTTATAATTTTAATTAGTAATTAAAACAGAAAAAAGTAACTTTAAGTTTAAGTGTAAAGAGTTTGAAAGAATAGCTGAAGCAAAAATAATTGAAGTTAGTAAACCAATTTCTAAAAACTTAAAAACTTTTCTTTCTTGTGGGAAAGAATCAGTTATCGGTAGAGTGAGGAAAATGGATTAGTGGTTAAATTTATTTGTATTAACTTGGATGATTATTAATAATTTTCATTGAAAACGCAGTTATTATTGAAAGTATTTTTGTTTACAAAGTCAATTGCACAAATTGCTTTAAAGATTAATTTGAATAAAATACACCTACATAAAATTACATGCATAAAAAATACATACATAAAAATATATTACATACATAAAAATATGTTACATACATAAAAAATACATCTCTTTTATATAAAAAATAAGAATAAACTTATTATTTTTTGGTCAGTATTTTTGAACTAATAGAATAAGTTGTTCGTAGATTTGGTGGGATTTTTGTGTTTGCGAATTTTCTTTTTTTATTTTTCTACACAAAGATGTTTGAGAATATTTGAGTTTATGTATGTTTCCATGTATGTCCATAAAACAAAATATTTTAAAATTTACAATAAAATAATAAACTTATTATTTTGCGGACAAACAAGGAAACATACATTAACTTGAATGATCTCAAAACGACTAAAAAATCTAGCCGGTTTTTCGCAACTAAATATTATTTCTGTAGTCAGTTATCGAGTGCGATTGCATCCGCTTCCTGACCAAGCCTGTATATATATATATATATATATATATATATATATATATATATATATATATATATATATATATATATATATATATATATATATATATATATATATGTATATATATATATATATATATATATATATATATATATATATACATATATATATATATATATATTGATTGGTTGTTTATGTATTAAATTATGTTAAAATAATACAAAAACTCTTGAAAGTAAAACAGTGCTCAATATTTCTATAATAGAGCAATAAATGTTTACATTTTGTTTAAATGAAAAACAATATTATTAATAGTGCTTAAAACTTCATGCCATTCACGGCAATCATCAGCTAATAACTACATAGAAAAACCGTTAGAAAAAACTGTTTAAAAACAAACACTTTTACAAATGAATTAAAAATTACGGTAGAATGTTTTCTAACGTAATAAAAGATGTAACTATTTAGTCTCCGGTATCAAAAGAGGACAATAGAAATTTGTTGGAATGTCAACACTTAGATAATATTTCGTCTTTTTTA